TCAAGAGCAGATGTGACTCGCAGATGATTGATTTTAGGGCTTCATATCCATGACCATTGTGTAATTCAACAATGTGGTGGTATTAATCGTTTGAAGCAAAGACATTATGAATGACATCCCAGATAATCTGAGGATCTGTTGATATTTTTGTTTCAAAAGGAGGATGTAGGTTGTCTTCTTGGTTCATGCCCAAAGTGAATCCAGGTGGGTGGTTGCATTTGGGTTGGAAGCATGGGTAAAGGTGGCAATATTTTCCAAAGCACAAGCAATGGGCTGTAAAGCATRTATACCAATTGTATAGTTCATATGCAGCATTGCCTGTGATTTTMTTTGCTGTGGTGCAGAAGTTTTTTTCACTTTGTGGTCCCATGTCAACAAGAACGAGGTATGAGCCATCCCAAGTGAAAAAACTGGTTGATGGGTTTTGTGGGTCTTTGTTTGGCRATTTATTGAGGATATTGGTCAAGGTGTCAGATGCATGGTATTTGTACTGGGTCACATTGAGCTTATAGCAATTGCAGACCTGGTCAGGGTAGTTCATGGGGATAAATGGGGTGATGTTCAGACTATAAGTCTTTACCTTTGGGGCAAGTTGTTGAATCATTGTGGCCTGTTGTCGAAGAATGTTGTTGTTGTTGGTGAAGAGGCAAATCATCTCAGGATTCATGGGAGGTGGATTGGTTGCATTGTTATTTTGATTGTTTTGGTTATGTTGGTTAACCKGTGGAGGAAAGGGAGTGTCCAAGAAAATGCCAAAGTTGTAAATGTCCTTTGCATGTGGGCGTTCGTCTATGAAGACAGCAGACCAGTTGAGGCTGAGGATGAGTGTATTTTTGTTGTCCCATTATTGTTCAGGTTGTTTCCAATTTTGATATGGGTGTCAGCCSCAACAGTTGTCATTAGAGAGGTTTTGGTACTAATGATATTGTCCATGAGATCAATGTTGTTGGTGTTCACTCCATTTGCTTTGATGTTATCAATGATCTTTTGCTCAATGGTGTTGATGATGTGGAACTGATCAGTGAAGGCGTCTCCGTTGGTGTTAAGGAGGGTATGTACAAGCAATAAGCATTGTTCATTTCGGCAGTGAGGTTGGGATAAAGTTGATGATCTTCGAAGGCAATGTCGAGGTAGGTGACCTTTGGATGGAAAGGACAGCTACATTGRGGTGATCTAGATCTGCTTCTTGTGGATGACATGTTGAAAAGTAGGCTTGAGTTTGAAAGTCTTGGAAGGAAATCTATTTGGAATAAAAGATGTTTTGATCTGAATCAAAATATGTTTTATGGAATGTTTGTCATGGAGAAATATTTTATATTCTGTGTGTAAAAGTATTGGTTTTCATGAGAAGCTTGGTAAATATTGTTGTCAAATGAGAGTTTTACATCAATGTGGCGTGTATTGGTCTCGTGAAGTGAGACGGTCTTCAGTGTGGGAATAGAAATTTAAATTACGTGCATTTGTGCAAGTGTGGTATTTGTTCTTAACATGCAAGTGGGAGTTCAAAATCTGGGTTGTGATTGTTAGCACCAAATGTGTTTCAAAGAGCAAGAATGCGTGTCTTGTGTTAATGTTTTGATTTCAAAACAATGGTGATTTGGAGATCGGGCGTTGACAATGRKGAGTATTGCAAAACAAACAATTTGTTTGTTTTAAGCAATGGTTGTTATCAATGCAGGGTAGTATCCATTGTGTTTACATGACAGCAATTTGTTGTGTTTACATGATGGCAATTTTGTGTTCAAATRTGTGTGAACGGTTGAGTTCTGGTAGAGGCTTGTGAGGAGAGAGCACACCTAAAAAATAACACCATGGTGGTGATTATTTTTATTGGAAGGGTGTCATAACCTGTGGGAGTGACTATCTAAYAGTGATGTTAATTGTGTGCTAGTAGAAAAGTGGGTTGATGCTCTTATCAAGGATCCATGAACTATGAGACTAAAGACAATCAGAATGAAGATCAAGTGATGTGTGAATCGAATGAGTCRAGTCACTCATGTAAGTGAATCAAATGAGTCATATTGATCATATAGATCCATGGGATTGAGTGAGTCATGAATGTAAAGTGTGTATGAATCATATGAATGTGTCATATATATGATATATAGTTATGAATCATAACCACAATCTGATATCCTACGGACAGCATTGTGACAGCATCATTGTTCTTTTTGATTTGGGTCTGCGATGTCATACCTTGTATCTTAGACCTCYTAGATCCCTCACTATGATGGATTGTATGATACATAGGTACTAGTAATGGTACTATATGATAATTGAGTATGAATGGTACATCCACTCATGTCCATACTTCCGTACTATCCTATGATAGTAGTAGTAGGTAGTAGTAGTAGTATGCACCACCACCAGCAACAAGAATGCTGTGGATTGCATGCTGACTTGTGCTGCTGGCAAACATATTTAAACCATTTAATTAAATTTTTAATTTTTTTAATTAAATCATGCAATGGATACGTACGTACCGGATAGGATACGTACATACTGGGTGGATACGTACGTATTGAAGAGGAAGCATACGAACATACGATGCTCCCTCGGAATGGAAGGACATACCATTCCTACCTACATATCATAATATACGATTCATATCTATGTATCATAGGATCCTTCGTAAGAGGTCCGAGGATCRTAAGAGGTCCAAGATATCAGGAGTTAGAATACCTCAYGAAGAACATAGACGTCACGAGTCCTGAATAGAAGAACCTCCATGTAGATTCCCTACCAGGTCTACATGAGGATCTRATCGGAACTTCGGAATTCTCGTGAACGCGTTCGATAATCTTAATCTTATAATTCAATTTTCATACACACTTAACACCTACTACCAAGAGTACACGTAATCTCGTGCAAATCATTAATTAAAATTTAATTAATGTTTTRTTATTGGAGTAATTAAATTTAATTAAGTTGATAGTAAAATTTACTACTAATTATTACTGTATTATTGGATTTGACTTCATAAAATTCTTGATCACGTTTCCCCGAAAAACATTTTTCTAATAACCCCYGAACTTCAGAACAAGCAGGATTGAAGAATGACCGTTATTTTCAAGCAATACCGTTACAGTCGCGCAATCATGCGCGAAAATATTGAAAATTKCTCGCTTCGGTCCCTCTCCTCTGCTCTGTACTCGTACTCTAGTATCTACGTACTGAATGAACGAACCGAAGCCGTACAGTAATTACATTACAGGCACGGTAAAAGAGTTACTAGTAAAATATTACTGTACTACTACTATTTTCAAATTTCGATAGCAACGGTTTTACAAGCAAAAAAAAGATAACTACGATGTACCGGTGCAAGTCGAAGTAATTCGTAATTCCCCCAACTTCTTCTGTTACAGGTAGTTGCTTAAAGTCTGGATACAGAAACCAGCATGGTAACAACCACCGTCGCAAACAACCAGCAACAAAGTAACAGGAGTAGCTGTGCTGTTTAGGGATAGTCTCCATGTGTTAAATCCCTGGATGAATCTCCAAAAAGTTGTCGCATTTTCTGTTGTCCATTTACAACAAACATCAATCAAACATGAAGGTTAAAAAAATATCGAACTTACTCGTTTTTCTCCCGGTGATTCTTCACATTTCAACTGCATTGATCCGACCCTTCCTCAATCCACTCAAARCATCCGGAAAACTGAAGTATATCAATGTTCAATTTGAGTTACCTCTCGCGGCAGAGTTTCGACCCCTGACAAAAATAGCAAGGAAAGGCGACGCGTTAGTGTCACTAAGTCTGACATTATCCAACAGAAATAACGACGATAATCATACGCGGAATGAAACGGACGACAAAGACGTTACTCAAATCTACACCCCAGGAAACAAAAAWTTTTCATCTTCATCCGAATCTCCTCTACAGGGTCATCGAGATATCAATCATTCGAACCACAGTGACGTCGCTTCTATCAATTTAGATATGAACTCGAATGATAAATCCTATCAAGGAAGTTTGTTGGAATCGTATTTCCCATTTTTGCAGTCGTCTCAGCCAACAGCTAGAACAGATTATCAGAGTGTGTCTGATCTCGGGATAGGAGATAACAATTCTAGCACTGCATCAAAAATACTGAAGAAAGAAGCARACGATGCAATCACAGTGGCAGATCTTGAARTYATTCTTTCGCAGATGGAACTACCTCTTTACAAGAATCGTGTACGAGATCTAAAGAGCAACGCTCTCCCTGTGCGCTCTAAATCCGCTTCATTTTCAAAACAAACAGCAAATACAAAAATGATACCTGACTCGTCGCATGTTGCTTTTCCTCAACCTTCAATTCTGAGTGAACACGAACTTCAACGAGGCACAAGTATTGCTGGTTGTTTTCTGGGGATGATAATTGGAATAACAATCCTTCCAAATCTTTGGCTAGTGGGTATGATYATGGGTTCATTTTACGGTTACGACTTAACAAAAGGGATCTCAACAGAAGGCAACACCCGCGAGGATCCAAATATTTTTGGCAAGTTTCTRATATCTTGCGGACGAAAGCTCGCCAAAGCTTACTTACAGCTTGTAGATTATTGGAAGGGTTTATGGTTTCTTTACAAGACTGGACAGCTCTCTTATGAATACTACAAAACATATGAAAATTTGGATAAAAAATTTGCTATTCAGAGCAAAGTTGATGCGTGGAACCGAATTTTCGTGCAAGGGAAGCAAAAGTTTGACGCATGGGAGCAAGAGAATGAAGTTGGAAGAACCGTTCTTGCAGGGCTTCGGACTGCTTGGCTAGTAGATGAGCAATCACGACAACGTGCAGCTGGACGTTCAAAGTACCGACTGGTACAGGCTGCTTACGATGTAAACAACTCAATCAGTCGATCATTGAGGAATTTATTTCTGTCAATTAAATCTCTCTTCGAAGAGGGAGAAATAAAATCGTTTTTAAAGGGRTTGCGAACCGACATGAGCCAAAAAGGATCAATTGCTACTCGTATCGGTGCTGTTGCTGTTGCGATTGTTGCAGTTAATATTTCTGGAGCTATTTTTTCTATTTCTCCAGCCTTTTCGAACATTCTTGCTATCGTTCTTGCTATAATATGGCCATCGTGGGCAGCCGATCTTGCTTCTCGAGCGCAGGAGGTTGGGATGGAAATCAAATCAAGAGGTTTGAAGGAACAGAAATCGCTCTCTGGAAACTCTGTAAAGGTTTTTGATCCTGTGAAGTTCATTCGCCGACGATGCAAAGAGCATAGAAGTGACAACCCCAAGCAATCAACACGCAACAATAAAAGAAATCGGAAACAGAAGTTTGCTTCCAAAGCGTTCTTTTCGCCATTTCATCTAATTGGTGACGGGGGRAAAAGGCRTCCTACAACTTCGGCGAAAGTTGGGACCTGGAGAAATTCAAGAAGATGAAAGCAACATCCTCGCATTTCTTCCCTCCACTCGAAATTGACTGTAGTAAGGTTGAGGTTGTCAATAGAAATCAAAATTGCAAGAATCCTATAGGAGCTAGCACAATAAATCTACTATCTGGATGCTCTCTAGCTGTTCCTAAACCTCAACTTCCTGCAAATGTTCAAGTAAACGGAATGTTATCCGAAGTTTAGCCAGATCATTGAACTGACTCTACGTTAACTTTTTCAAAAATTCTAGGATACTTTCGCATAAATATCCGGCAAAACATGATCGTATCGCGTGGTGTTCAAATTGATGGAAAAAAAATGAAGCTCTGTTACCTATTGTACGTCCTGGGAGGAGGCTTCTGGTCTCTTGCAATGCAGCTACTAGCTTGTCGATGATTTCCGATTTAATTTTTKGCCTCGACCAAACCCTGCTGTATGCGTCCGGGCAGCACTTACTTGTGCTCTCCATTCAAGAGATTAAAAATGATTTTTGAATTTTCAAGATATCCTTCTGAAATTTTCCSYTTTGGGCAGCMGAGAGACTAGAAACACTGTTAACGTGAATTACTATCTAGAAACAAAGGCACATACGAAGAATGCGTTCTTCGTAAGCAATTTAMACGATCAGATCCTATTSCACGGAATAGATATCGATATCGATAGATTCTGAATGGGGAGAAACCTAGAATACGATCACAGTTAGTAACTGGGATAAGGATTAGTCTTATTCAAACATAACACGTCACTCAGTATTCTGTACAACCCAAAGAAAGGAGCTTGAGTTGAATGATTAGCCTTTGTATAAAAGACGCCGATACTCTCTATTCCTTGTCATTCTTCTCGTTTGCTGTSACGTGCATTTCATATTTTTCCAGAATGGAGGTATCGTTGCGAACAATATGAGAACCTCTGCTTTTTTCTGTTGAATTCTGTGATGCCGATGCACTTATAGATGAGACGCTTGAAYTCGCCCTTGCTCTTCCGGTTGGTAAGTGAACATTGAAATTTCCAAACCCACAGCCAGCGTTTGGAAAAAGTAAGTTAGTGGATGTTGGAGTGGCATTTCTAATTTTTCGGCCTTGAAGCTCACAAAGTTCCACTGACACCGAATCCGAATCTTTCCTTTTGTAAMTTTCTTTTGCCCCTAAAATCTCAAATGGATTCAGTGTATCATGACATTGTTTCGTCCAATACAGTCGTCTCCCATGTACTATGACACCTGGACGCTCAGTAAGGGGCCCTGCGAGACTGTATAAGTATGTGACAGCTCGATACAGTAATTTTGCTGCGGGGTAAAGAAGGAGTAAACCAACAGAAAGCGAAATCCAACCGTATAATGGATTATCTAGCCGACTTGCCATTCGAATACCACCATAAAAAGATGCTCCAATTAGAACAATCGAAACAAAATATATTGCCACAAAATAGGTAGYACTTTGTGGGACTTGGGATTCTTGCTCTTTCTTTTGATCCAAAATATCATCCATGAGCATTGCTATCGTAGGATCCTCTTTTAAGTACAAGACTTCAACGTTTGCAAAACCTTCTTCCAGTAATTTCTTACTCGTGAATACCTTTCTGACCTGTATATGTTCGTCCTCGGYGTCACCGTTGACTACAAAATCTACAAGTGCGTAATAAACAGGGATGCCTGTTCCCAGAATGTCTTCACCAAGACTGACCTGCAAAACGTGCCCCATTGCCTTCGAAGAATCTTGCTGGTCGAAAATAAGTTGTTGCGGTGGTTGTCGTGTGCTTACTAACCAAATGGACCATCCTAATGCGCAGGCTAAACATAACCAAACATCTGATAAAGAAGTGGGGGTTGTATTGGACCGATTGTCACCATCCTGAAATTGATAATATCGGCCTCTGTTACGATTATTTAGCTTTCGCTCTCTAGGTCTGTGATAGCTCATTGAAAAATTATCTGAACCGAGTAAAGTATTCTTCGTGTTCATTCTATTTTGTTCAACTCGAGCCAAATAATGACTACCCCCTGCATTGCATTGTACACTGATTGGAAAGAAGCATATGAAACAAGCGAAGGATGCAATGTTCCAAAGGCAAGATCGAGCTACCTGGCAATGCGGCGACATCTGAGGTCACTTAAGTAGTGCTATGTTGCACTCCCGACCTTTGATGAACTAAGTTTCTCTCAAACAACAAATATATGGAAAAACCCTTCGACTCTTCGAGTTTGACAACCAAAATCAACAGAAGACGGATTAAAACCGATTACAGTACAGCAAAAGAGTTTCGATGATACGGTGAGTAAACTTTTCTTTAACGGTACGTAGCTACCGTACTGTCTTTGCTTTTTCTTTATTATCGGAAGGTGGTAGCCTCGTAAGGTAGTAGCCTCACACAAACAAGTAGTTGGGTACGAGTACCGTACTCATTGTAAGTTCGTTGGCGCCATACACCTGGATCATATTTTGAAAGAAAATTTCAATTTTTCTCAACCGTACAGTAGTTCGTACGTAATTCAGTATTTGGAATTTATCCAACAGGTACAGGTTCTATTCAGCGTTATAGTTAGTAACGTAGTCGAGGAGCCTAAAAAATGATCCCTTTCGTTTTAATCGCGCAAGCAAGCCAAGCATAGCCGTTGCTGCTCTAATCAATTTAGGATTTTCGTTTTTAGTTGAACCGTGCCGGTACCGGTAGGGAACGAACATTATTTGTGAGAATACTGTATCCCGAGCACTATTTTACTGTACTACGCGTTTCGTARCAATTGAAGCAAGCGCTCTCCAGTTAAGACTTCAAGCGTTAAAACAAAGTTATCAACTTTGAATCGAAGTTGTCAACTTTCAGCGCAAGTTGCCAACTATGCTAGGTAGGCCTACGTATAATTAGTACTAGCCCCGCATTGTGTCACGCCGGCTGGCCAACAGCTGCTCAGCGGGGGGAAGCAAGAAGCAAGATTAGCTGTTTTGGATGGATCCTAATACAAAGCTGTCGTACACAAAATCCTGTAGAATATCGTGAATCAAGGTAGTTGACTTGAGATTTTGGTCAAAATAGAAGGGTTTTTATCACGCGTTCAAAAATGTGATGTGTCCTACTAGTGTCTTGACCTTTACCTGCCTCCACCTTGTTCTTGCTGATACAGCACCATGCTAAACTGTTCTTTTTCATTCATTCAAAAAACTCCCAAGTTCAAAGCAACCAACCATGGGAATTGCTCCATTTCAAGGACTTTCACTCACTCTTTTCTAATGTAAGTGGTATCAATCAATAGATCTCTTCAATTGTCARTTGAACAAGCCTTGAACTGTAGCAAACAAGCAAGTACTGTAACATATTTATTTTATGGTGGTGTGTTCAGTGTAGCTTGTTTTTTTACAGCAACTTGCTTCTTTTTTGTCGACAACAAACAGTAGTATGAGCAATGCAAGACGCCCTTCAGGGGCCCCTGTTCCCAGCTTTCCACTCACACAAACCAATCCACTCTATCAAACAGCCTATACTGCTCTGGAGAGGAAGAAGTTCCTTCCCCTGGTGAAGAAGAAGCAGCATCTTTCTGCCATTCAGAAGATCACTGAAGGGGATGTTGAATCTGTCTTTCCTGCTGGTAACAAGGTCAAGGGACTGAGACAAGAGATGTGCCTCCTCCATACTGATGTTGTCTCTGCCGGTCTAGGCAAGAGCAAGCAGTCTCTGCCAGTCTAGGCAAGAGCAAGCAGGAGAAGGCGTGGAGATCTCACTACGCTTCTTCCATCCTTGCTTCAATCTATGTGGCAATGGAGATGAGGAAGGGGATGGATTTGCCTACCCCAAGCATCCACCAGCGTGCTAGCAGATCAAGGAGCAGCAGCAATGATACAACAGCTCTTCCCCTCTTTCAAACCGTTGCTAAAGCTGTGAAGCAAGCTGTGGACAAACAGGAAGACGAGTTGATTGCCAAACAGAACAAAGGATCTTCCATCAAACAACAGAGGGATGGAAAAAAGTATCCAACATCAGTAGCGCAGGAGATTGGTTGCTGGGCATACAGGCTCCATTGCAAGTAGAACTATCCCGAATGCAGCAAGCCTGGGGCTGATTACTTACAGCAAGACGCAGATGGAAATCCAACCTGCTCTTGTCCTATTTGCAATAGCAGCTGCTCTATCCTCTTCAATAGACAGGACTTGTACAAGGTTGCTTTCCAAGCTGATAAGGAGGCAACTAACTGGCTACAGACTGAGCAGCTGGCTAACTACCCCGAGCTCTTCAACCATCTTGTCACCTCCACACTGCAGAATGGTGCCATTGATGCAGCACTAGCAACAGGGCGTGTTGTGGATGATCCAGGGAATGTTCAGGATGCTTATGGATATGCAGGCAGTAGGTTGCTTGCTGAGGATAGTATCCAGGGGAACTTGACCATGAAGGATGCTTTGAAAGAGTACAGAACAATGGGGACCGTAACCAAGGCTGGTGTATCAATTCATGCAATTAGAAAGGGGGGGAGGACTGGAGCAAATCTGAATCCAGCAGCACCAAGGGGATTTGGTATTCCAAATCCAAGGGAATTGCAGCAGCAACAGCCTGGCCAGCAACAGCCTCAGCAACAGGCCCGTGTTTGTCCCAAACAGCAGCAACAGCAGCCGCAGGCTCGTCCTACTGCGAGAGGACCTACTACATTCAACCATCAGGATACTAGGTTTTGCAGGAATAGGCTTGGTTTGTCTACCACGCCACAGCCTTTGAATACCAGTGCTGGTCCATCCCTTGCCACTAAGCTTGCCAAAGCTGCTGCTGGTAGTGGTAGTGCTGTGCGTCCTTGTCCAGCAGCTGCAGCAGCTGTCCTTTGCCAAAATGTCGCAAGGCCTCTGTTGCAGATACACCATCCTTTGCAAGGAAGATCAGGAAGGAATCTGTCAAGCAGTCTATTGGTGGTACTAATTCTGCTTCCAAGCAAAAGGCCCTGGATCTACTGTCTGTTCAGCTCACTGCTGAGAATACTAGTGCAGACGCCATGGCTCTCAAGAAGAGAGCACAGGACATAGAGAATGTTTGTCCCAATGTGGAAGAGGCTACTGGTTCCTTGGTAGTAGAGTGTGTAGAGCATTGCAAGCAGGATACTGCTGCTTCAAGCAATGGTTTGAATCCCCCTGTGAACAAGCGCTCGTCAGCAGCAGCGAGCACTGGCTTGAAGGGCCCAGCAACAGGCCGTGGCTTGGGCTTGKGCCTGGGTCTCAAGCATGTCATCAAGCGTCCAGCTTTGAGCAGCAAAAAGCCTGTGACTGCTGCAAAGAAGGCCTCAGCTGTTGTAAGCAAGAAGAGTAGTCCTGGTGGCTTGCCCAGCAGCCAGAGCTCAACCGGATTCAACTATGGAGACAGTGATTGATTGCTGCTGGCTCCTCTTGTCTCCTTTCCAATGGATGCTGAATACTGAAAGCATCGATTCAAATGTTGAGTGCATCAACTTATGGTGGTTCTTTTCCTCCTGTTTCTCCACCATTAGGATGCCCTCTTGCTGTCTCTTTTGTACAAACAGAGAAGCTTGCCTATGCTGTTGTAATCCCTGTGATTGCTGTTGATAGAATGCCAAGTACCTCCTTGTTGAGGTAGTACTACTATTGTAATAGTATAGAGACCCCCAAATTAGCATGTAAAGCAACTCGCTGCAGATTCCAGACGCCCTACAGTACATTCTAAAACTGTAGGCCTAGGCTGACTCACTAGACCAGTGAGTCGGTGCTTGGGGTATTGCTCAAGTCTATTGCATCTACTCTTGGTAGCTATGATTCCTACTAAAGATAAACTGTATACAAATAAAAAAAATCTTAATATTATATTTTACCTCATGAACTAGAAGAGGCACTTGGGTGGCCAGAACCATAACTTTTGTTGGAAAGTATGCTTCTAGCTGCTCTGAGGGGCGGCACTTCTCTCTGAGGAGTTTTGATGGAAGTGCGACCAGGGTTTTGTTTTGGCTGAGGAATTAATTGAAATAGTTGTTCATAGTAGTTTGTATGGTACGGGTGGTTGCGGTAGAGACCAAAGAGAGCTTTGGTGACTCRGAGGGTCTGYGTCATTTCTTCTTGGAGTACGCGTCAAAGATCAGCCCATCTTGTGTGACGCTCTCTGGTGGTTGTTTGCTATGAAGCAATGGTGGAAAGTACTGGGTAATAGGGCAGGTGTTGGAGACCAAAGCRCTTGTAGCTTGAGAGACACTTGCCAGAATCATTTTCTCGTAGGCTTGATGATAATAAGAGAGCATGGAGGTAGGGGTCTGGAATAAGAAGGCTTCCATATTTTCTGGGAATAGGTGGGCATGGGACGGACATGTTTGAGATTTTAAAGCAAATAAGGTCCGAACTTTCATCACCACTCTCTGTCGATGCTTTTCTTGCTTCTGAGGAAGTGTGGAGCCATGAAGATCTTTATTTTGCTGTTCCCATAATGATATATACGAGGTAAGAAAAAAATCCACAAGGTAACCCCCCGACACAAGCGGGGAGTAAGAGCCAGAATGAAGATCAAGATCAGTAAACCATTGGAGCCAAAGGTGACCGGCAAACATGTGGTGCCAACCAATCTCATTCTGGAAATGAATAACTGGGTGAAGGGATACTGGATAGTTCTCTGGAGAAACAGTGCCAGTGTCTAACCATTCGGTAAGACATGTAGCAAGAGTGTCAGTGGCAATTGGTCAGAAGCCAAGTGTGGACATGCGTTGTCGTAGAGATGTGATAGTCTGTCTTCGCCATCCGATGCGAGATGGGTGGGAACATTGAAAGAGATGCTCCAAATCTTCAGGTGACTGGTAAAGACAACAAGTATCCTGWTGTTGGTAATTCCACCATTTGAGAACAGTCGCAGTGGGTAGAATATTGTTGCAACATTTAGTGACCAAGACGTCTCTGGAAATACGGTGGATGGYAATGCTCAGAGACTTCCAGGCAATATCAGCAAGAACTTGTCAGGGCCACTGGTTCCTATCTCTCAAATATATATGATATTGGGGGACTAAACAAGAATCTGTGAGAGCTTTCTTATATTGGCTGGTGACGGAGCGAGACTGGATCTGGAGAACAGCTGGGCAAGAAGGTAGCACTGGTGTAATAAAATTTGGAGTGGTCATCTGTGCTTGATAATCTCTGGCATAACCATCAGCCTCGACATTCAATTGAGCTGTCAGAGRGAGGCGATCAAAGACAGTGTTATCATCCTGATGGCCTTTCACCCAAGAAAAGGATTATGTGAGAGAAGAAATCTGAAGGGTTTGAAAAATCTGTTCAATCAAGTCAAAATCTGGTGCGAGGGTAGCATTGGCATAGACCTCTGTATATTCACTTCTGGATTGGAGTCCAATAATGAGTTCCTTGCTGTCGCTGACAAAGGTAACCCATGTAGAGCAAATAAGGGAGGYGTCAGAAGAGGATGATGAGCTATAGGAACTGGTGTCATTGTTGCTAGTCTTGTTGGCGTGGTGGCGTAGGTGCGAATCGAGCAGGGTTATAAAGAGACTCGCTGAGAGTAAGCCTGTAGCCTCGGCTCGAAGA